CTCTCCCTCTCCCTCTCCCTCTCCCTCTCTCCCTCTCTCCCTCTCATTTTTGTTGTTTGTCTGGCTCAGGTATCAGTTTAATGAGCTTTTTGATCCTTTGGAATAATTTTCTTTGGTCTTTTTTAGACAGGGTCTCACTAGGCAATTCAGGCTGGCCTTGAGCTCACTTTGTAGCCCAGGCTAGCCTTGAATTCACAAAGATCCTCCTGCCTCAGCCTCCCAAGTGATGGGATTACAGGCATGCACCACCACTCCCAGCATGGAATAATTTGAAAAGAATTAGTGTTAGTTGGTTAATTGGTAGATTTCAGGAATGAAGCCATTGGGTCCTGGGCTTTTCATTAATAAAAATGTTTTTATTGTCAATTCAAGTATCATTCCTAGTTACTGGTTTGTTGAGGTTTTCTGTTTCTTCATGATTTATTTTTGATAAGTTGTATGTCCTCAAGAATTAGTCCATTTCTTCAAGGTTTTCTCCAGTTTGTTGGCATACAGTTTTTCATAATTGTCTGTAATGATCCTTTATATTTCTGTGGTGACAGTTGTAAAATCTAAAGTCTAATTTTTTATCTCTGATTTTGAATCTTCTCCCTTTTTTTCCTTAGCCTATTTAAAGGTTTGTTGAGTTTATCTTTTTGAAACAATCGTTGTTTCATTGATGTTTTGGGGTAATTTTTGTCTATTTCATTTGTTTCTGTACTGATTTTTTTTAAAGAGAAAAAAATAAAAATAGAAATAAAACCAGTTCAAAACAGGCTAGTAGGAGAGTAACAATAATTAATACATTGCACATTGTTATCTTCATAGTAGTTACTCATAGTAACTAGATGGCATGAAATATTATCCAAACAATATTAGCTCAAACCTTTCCTTTCTTAGTTTATTGAACATATATACTTGTGTGTATATATGTTTTTCCTTTCCCTTTTCCCCCATCATCGTTTCTCTTTTCTTTTGAACAGTTTCTTCCCAACTCACAATATCTGTTATACATTTTGGATCTTATTTACCCCTGCAGTTTCTCACACTAGTGGGACAATACGATGTTTACATGTGTGGGTCTGATTTATTTCACTTATAAGTGTGGTCTTGGGTTGCATCCATTTACATATAAAATTCTCACGTGTATCCTTCTTTATGGCTGAGTAGTACTCCATTATATTAAAAAAAACCACATCTTTTTTATCCCATTTCTCAGTTGATGGGCATATGTGTTGTTTCACAAGATTTAGCTATTACAAATTGTGCTGCTATAAATAGGGTGCATATATATTGCTGTGATATTATGCTTTTCATTCTTTTGGGAAAATACTCAGTAGGGGAATAGCTGGGTTGAATGGGACCTCTAATCCTAGTGTTTTGAGGAATTTCCACACTGATTTCCACAGTAGTTTCACCAATCTACACTCCCACCAGCAGTGGGGAAGGGTTCCTTTCTCCCCCAGCCCCACTAGCATTCGGTATTGGTTGATTTCTTGATGATAGCCATTCTTTCTGGGGTGAGATGAAATCTCAGTGTTGTTTTAATTTGCATTTCTTAAATGACCAGCAATGTTGAACATTTTTTCCCATTATGTTCATTCTATGTAGAATTTTAGCTCCTGAATGTTATGGAAATATTATCTCCTTTCCTGTTGGACTTTTATATACATGCACATGCGCACGCACCACATGAAGAATAGTACACAGTATTTTGTCAAGCTGGCTTTCCCGGTGTTCTGTAGGTTCCATTCATTACTTGTTCCGAGTGCTTCTTCTAAAAGTCAGTTTGAGGTGGGTTTTTCTATAATGACCCATATGAGAACTTTAATACCCGAGACTATTTTTGTTATGTCCTATTTAAATGACAATTTGGTTATATCATTCTAAGTTTAAAGTTCTTTTCTTTTAGTGTACTGACTAGTGCTGTAGGGGCATCCTGTTTTCCTCTTGCTCTAAGCTCACCCCTTGGAAGGTCGTGTCATCTTGATAGTTCCTTTGTGGTGCTACTTTCTCTCTACAGATGCTTTAAGTTTTCACTTTGTCTTTGGCATTCACAATCTCACTATAAATTCTAAGGTCATGAATTTCGGTGCTCTTTTACCTTTTTGAGTGTATAGTCTTTTCAGCTAGCTTCTCTAACAATAATCATATCCTTTGTGGCCCTTTTTCCCATGTGATTACATGAGTTAGATTTTGCTGAACCAGCAGTTTTCCAATCCAAATCCTGATCTAACCAACTTTAGTTTTTTTCTCAGTACTTCCATGTGCTTTAGACTTTGTAGATTTTTCCTTCTTTCCCTAATGAAAATTTTAAAATGTATATAAATACATGTTTATGTATTTTTTCTATATTTCCCTTTTGCTCTATGAGGTTTCCAGAAGAAATATAGTGGATATTCGTCTTCTAACTGCTGCCCCAAAATGCCATTTGATGTGTTTTGCTTTCTCTGTCATACTTTGAACACTCTTCTAGAATACTGGAACACTCTTCCAGGCAGAACCTACAAACTCCCCACGGTTTTCTCTCTAGTTATGTTTTAGGTGCTCTTGTCGTGTCTTCAACAATTTTCAAGTCTCAGCTAAGGAAATAGCATTATCATTTTAATAGCACTGTGTGTGCATGTTAGTGACTTTCCTTCTGAGCCCAGTGCATTGTGTACTCACTCTTTCATCACTCAGAAAAGCCAGTTTGTGGCACTCTGACCTCTTACAAGTAAAGAATTCTACACACACACAGTGTTTTATTCAGCAACGTCCCTTGTTTGTATAATTTCATATTAACAAAATGTGCAAGCTGTCAGTCATTTTGTAAATGGTTACTTATCAAATTGTAACATACAGTTCAAAGAAGTGTCACAAAACATCACAGTTTAAAGTTATGATGATTTTAATACTAAATTTGGAGTAATCACATATTTTAATATTGTACTTTTG